TCATTCGTCATTGCACAGCAAGGGGTTAACCCTTTGCACTCCGAAGTTTCTCACTAGAAATATTTCAACATTTTCTGATGAGACGACGATATTTTGTAAAACCAACTCGACGAGAAATTCACGCGAATTGACGGGCAAAGCTATTTTACGTCAATATTTCTCAGATTGATGCATTATATGAAGTATAATATTAAATATCAAACTTTATAGCTTCACTGTAGGAAATCAAGTGGTGACTGAGAGTCACCTCCCGAGCGCAAGGGGTTAACTTCCTTCTTCCTCCCGCGAGCAGGGAAAATTACTCCATTTTCATCGTTTACTTTCAACGTTACTTTCCTCGCGCTTTTCTCGAGTGTTAGTTTCAGTAGAAATCTTCGAATGTTTCATCGAATGCACCGAAACGAAGTTCGAGAAAACAACTTTCTGCGGATTACGTCACGCGTTTGATTTTGGATAAACGCACGTGAGAATGTAGTTCGATTCGCTCGAGGAGAGGACAAGATGATTCGTATGTATATTAATTCTGTCGAGGCTGCTTTCGAATACGCGAATCAGAGTCGAAATTTAACCCTTTGCGGTCCGAAATGCTCTTGGTTTCTCAGTTTGAGGTTCACGTCGACGTTAGTTCGTTCTTTATTAGTTCAATTACAGCTTAATATGACGCTCTATCTATTTATTCGAGAATCTTTGGGAGTTGTTGAAATGTTACCTTTAAATGGTATAATTGTGATACTACAAATAAATATAGAAAAAATTCGGGACTGAGGGTCCCAATCGAAGAGAAAATTGCAATGCCGATGCACCTATCGTAATAGAATTTTATCGAATGGTAAATTCCCATTTTCTCGAACTATAAAGTACCACGTGACGGACGCGTGTACCATTTATAGGGGATTCCGAGTTTTTAATATGTTTTAAAACACATCTGTACGAATGTGTACCAACCGTTCCGAAGGGGTTAAGATACACGTGCAAAGGTAAGTGCTGTCAGATAAGAATGCGCGTAAGGTAAAATCTGACGCTTAATGGGACACAAATTCTCCGCGCCTGATTGGCTCCACCAATTATTTCTGCTCGCGGAAAAAAGTGGAGCAACTGGCCATCTTCGAAACGCGAGCTCCTCGATCACGAAATTACGACATCGACCGCGTCCGCGATCGAATTACTGGATGATTGCTGATAAACGCGCCGATCATTGGCCAAGTCGGTTAACTCCACTTATCGAATTTTTCAGAGGTTCACCGTGAAATCGCTTCATTGACTCGACATGTTGTGTATCTCGAAGAAATCTTATTATTGGGTTTAGTACCACAAAGTAATAAAGATTCCGTTGAACACGCGAAAATTGTAATAATATAGATTACTTCAGGAGAATGCAATTTAATAGTACAACTACCGATAACTTGCACCGTCTTTCTAAAGTTTCTATATAAAAGCTACAAGCGTGAATCTAACCCTTAGCACTCCACATAGTTTTGCGATACGTCAGCAACTCCTACCAATTTTGATAGTCCTTCTGAAAATTAACAATGTTATAACATTTCTTAAACTTTTAATTCCCTTCTCAGTACAAACTTTGTATATTTGGAAGATCTAATAATCTTAAGGTAGTTTCCTTAACATTCAGAGTTCAAAAGGTTAAGATTTCAATTGGTTTATATTCCAGCTGAACTACCAAATCAGCTTCTTTCCTCATTTCTGACAGAAGTATCAGTACTTTCGCAGTAATTCTAAAAGAAATTAGGAACTGTTCATTTAGAACCAACCGGTAGCTAGTGTTAACACGTTGAGTGACACGGGGGTCACCGGTGACCCCCAACCAAATCTAATTACCATAGTTCACTCAATTAAACCATGATTATTTGAAAACATTTCTATACTATAAATAATGCTAACTAATGTGGTGACACTCAGCTAGATGAACCTGCAACAATAACAATGCGATTCAATCAAACGATTTAATATCATATTTTTTCAATTTCAAGTATTTTGTACCATGAAATCGTGCGGCATTCGACGTGTTAATAACAAAACGAAACAGACACAAGAGATTCTCAAAATCGATGTACATGCTTCACTTTCCTCTACATATTTCGCAAGAAAATTCGGGCTAACCACTTTTGTCGAACGAGTGGTTCGAATATAAGTGGATCGTCGGACGGTGTACCGGTTACGCAACTTCGCTCGGGAATTTGTTGGAATCGACGCGATTCGACGTGCCGCGGCGCGGCGTCCTCGAGCCGGCTGATTTATCGCGAATAATTACGGGACGCCTCGCGCTGTGCGTGTCTCGGTGATTTTTCAAGAAGGTTGTCAACAATTTCGAAAGGAATCGCGCTCGAGAAGCTCGCGTCCGGACCAAACCCGTTTCCTGAAAGGATCCATTATCGCGCGAGAAAAGAGGCGACGCGACGGTTGCATACGCACACATTGATCCACTTACGACCAGCCGTGACTGGTTCGTTCGCCGACCCATCCCCCCGGACGCATTCTCGTTCCATTTTCCTCTTTGTCCGTCGGCGTTTCCTTTCTGGCTGTGCTCCTTTTCGTACGAGCCGCAATTACCGCGGGTGATGCAATTACACAGTCTGCTTCGTACGAAAAGAAACGTCCGATTGTCATCTCCCCGACGGGAACAAAGAGTTCGTTTAATCGAAGACAGCCCTGCGTCTCGGGTTCCACGCGATTCTGTGGCTGGATATCGTCGTCGAGCCTCGATAAATAGAATAAACAGAATTCCGATGGAATTCGAGGTCCGGAAAGCGAAAGACACGACGTGGAATTGTTTCATTGACCCTTTGAACTCTGTAGACTCCGATACTGCACCAGTTATAATGTTGAATATTTCAATAAATCTTAAAGAAGCTACCCTAAAATAATTCGATTCTCCACGCATCCAGATTTTGTACTAAGGAAAATAAAAGACCGAAGAAATGTTATGGTATTTCTCATTTTCGCTAGGAATACTATAAGAATTAGTTGCAGTTGCTGATAGATTACAAAACAACCTGGAGTGCTAAGGGTTAAACATGGAGTTTAGTCTTACAATTCTCTCGCGAAGCGTGTAGTAGTTCGATTCGCAGAGGTTTTCCATGGTCGAACTAAAGGCAACGAATTCTCTGAGATATCGTTAGAGGATTAACCCTTTGCACTCGAAAGTTTTTCACTAGAAATATTCAACACTCTATGATAAAATATAGACGACGCTTGTTGCGACTAATGTAAATAATTTAATCGATGAGTTCGTTGGTAATGAAGATCGAGCAATTACTCACTCCGCAAACAAAAGACATCCGCGTGTGTTCACGCGGCCCAGTGCGTACCAGTGCGTATCGGTGTTCTGTGTCCAATAAGTTGAATATTGTTGCATGTTTATTCTCTAATAAATCATTATTACTAACCCATAAATGTTACTAAATAGTGCACCACCCATAGCTAGTTTACTGACTAATAACCCAATAAAGTTAAAGGACAAAATTATTTTACTTTGATATTTCACATAGTGACGCGTTATACAAAGTTTAGTGTTAAACGTCAAACTTTATAAGTTTACCGTATCAAACCGAGTGGCGAGAGTGACCTCTCGAGTGCAAAGGGTTAACAGAAGACAACGGAAGCATCGAAAATGAAGTTCCTCGGTAATTTCCATTGTAACGAGACGTTTCGCCGATCAGATTTCAGCGGCAAAAGCTGCGAACGCCACGGAGTAACGTTATCCGCAGGATGGACGGCAGTTTGAATTTATTAATAATGCGTAGTGATGGCGCGGCCCACTGTCCATGAACGCCGTAATCGTCGGGCACCGTTAGGAGCGTCGTTTTCTCCGATAATTACACGTTAGCCGGCGTTTGGGCAGAAAATTCGTCTACGCCGGGCACCGTATCAATTTATCGCTGACCTTATTCCTCCGCGGACGTGTCCACGGTTGCGTGTGTGGGTAACTGTAAATTGTCGTGTTACGTTCTAACTGTAATTCAGGCTTTTCGACGTCCCGTAGCGAAATTACGCTAACGCCGCGCCGCGCCGCGTCGGACATGCTTGATTCGGTTCTTTCACGGAATCGATGAATGACCGCTGCTCTTCAGCTGCTCCGTTTCGCCTTCGAGTTTTCGTCGCGAAATATTCATGAACAGTGATATTGAACCTATGGAAATGAACAGCTTTCGTTTCCAAGAACTAAATAAACAGGAACTCATGTTCACGAGCAAATAAACAACATTAATCCTTAGCAGTCCTACGTCGAGTCGGACTCGACATTCTATTTTATTGCAACCTCTACTTGTTTTAACAATTTCTTCTATATTTATTTGTAGTATCACAGTTGTACCATTTAAAGGTAACATTTCAATGACTCCCAGATATTCTTGAGTAAATATTAAGCTGTAATTTAATGAACTAACAGCGACGTGAACCTCAAAGTGAGAAACGAAGAGCACTTCGGACCGCAAAGATTTAATACTTGATTCGAACTCCGTTCACCGAGGAAATTCGACAGTCGGTTTAACCCTTTGCAATCGAGAGATGACTCTCACATGGTTCGATACAACGAAACAATGAAGTTGAATATTTAACATTTAAAATAGAAGTATGCATTGCTACGTGAAATATTGAAATGAAACACCTCTGTTGCTTAACACGTTAAGCGCCACGAAAATTTTAAGCGTTTTCCCATAGAGTTTGCCTTTTGTAGCAAAGAAAAGTAGGAATAATTATGAATTGTTTGGCGTTGCAACGTTTGCGTTACACTATTATCAATTTAGTTGCCTTATTAAACATTTTTATTTCACATCGGTTGTCTTGTATGTTACGATTGTTTTTTAGTCATTCAGAAGCGTCAGTCACCAGTGACTGACATCGCGCTTAACGTGTTAATTTATCTATGAATTATCCTTAAATTAGTTTCAAACAATACGACCTATATCTCGTCGAAGAAAACGTTGAATATTTCCATCGAAAAACTGTCGAGTGCAAAGGGTTAAAACGCTATTGAAGGAACTTACTCGACGCCTCGAGGACCCGAAATCCTTGGGAATCTTCGATACACGATAGTCAACGCGGCGAGTCGTCTTGGATATCCTCGACAGCGTGCGCATTCCTACCGATTCCCGTCTCCGACGCAAGAATAGATTTTACAAGCGCTCCCGTCCTCCTCTCGCTTCCGTTGTCCGTCTCGCTCCTCCTTTTTCTCCATTATCTCCCGCGAGCGAGCAAACACGATAAGCGAGCGTTCGAACACCGCGGAGCGTTGCTTGCAATTAACAATACACGGTAAAAATAAATTAAATTCCTCGCGTCGAATTACCACGTGAGAATGTTACGTTCGACGGAAGTATTCGTTGCACATAATCCTCAGCTTTTTAACTTATGAATCTTGATCGAATGGTAATTCTCTTCTTAATCGATCTCCAGGCGCGCGGGCAATTTTCGAGCTGCCGATTAGCCGCGCCTGTAATAATCTATTCGGTTCGAAGACAATACACGCAATGGCATCGCGTTTTTCCACGCTTTGTTTCGCGGCGTTGATCGATTCTTCTCCCGTTGCATCAAACCGTGACGCGTCGCGTTACAGAACTCGTGTTCGTCGTTCTCCAGTGTCGGTAACGTGATTTGTCGCGTGATATTACAGGCACGACCGTAGGAAACTTCGAGATCCGTTCGATAAACCCGTCGGTCCGGCGTTTCGAACGTTGCCGCGTAAATTACGCGCGGACGCGATAAGGAACGAAAGGAGCAGCAAGATCTGAGCGATTTATCGCTTAATCGTCTTTAAACCGTGATCGTTGCACCGTGCCCGTGCAGTGGCGCGACGAGCGTCGCGAGCCTCTCATTTATTAATTACCCGCGCACGTTCAATTACGCTTATTTGTAAATTATAATCTCGTAACGGTACCGCTCGTGCCACCACATTTTAGTACTGTTACGCCGGTTACTCCCACGCGTCGGGCTCGCTGCGCTCGGCGTTCGAGAAATCGGGTCACTTTTCACCGGGAAACTACGAAAACGGTAAACGTTACCGTCGCGAGCGAAATTTCGCCGCTCGACAAAGAGAGAAACAAATCGAACAACAATGTACGCGACAGATCGACTAATAACGACGATTTCGCAGATTAGGACACGCGAATAATAGTCACCGAGAATTGTAATACGTATTCTGTGTAACTAATTGTAACACCAATTTTTCCTGTAAACACACGAATGCTCGTATCCCTCTAATAAACCAGTTTACCGCAACTTTTTCCACTCCACCTCGGCAGTACAAGTTTGGTCCGAACTTTTGTAGACACCCTGTGTACACCAGCGAAGAAATGAAATTTATGTAATGGGACGTCCGATTAGGCAAACGTTTATGCAACGGAGAAGCATTCGTTGCGCGCTCTCGGAATCATGAATGACGCTGTAATCCGACGAAATCGATTCGTGAAATGTTAGCAGCCGGCGTTGCGTAACGACCGCTATCGTTCCCGGCGATCGCGGCGTGTCGCGATACCGCGGTTTAATTTATTTCGCCCAGAACGTCCCTGCCTGCTCCCGGGAAACGTGGAAACGGTGACTTACGGGGACAGAAACGAACCTCGAATCCGAATCGCTCGATTACGGGTGCAGGAAGTCAGCAACGGCCGTTGCCGTCACCATGTCTTTCCATTCGAGGATCGCCGCCGATCGGGAATCGGAGCCGATCGGCCGACAACGACGAACCTGGTCACGTAACTTCGACGATCGGAGGAAAAACTTGAACAATACGCCGGAGGAATGCGCGAAGGATGAGACACGGAATCTCGCGACGCAGCAGGACGCGCCGCTGATGCATCCTCCTTCATCCGCGAAGGTCAACGCTTACGCGCGCGACGAGACGCGTCGCGTCGCGTGAATCCGCCTGCCGCTTTTTATTCGTGTCACCGCCCGAATTAACGCGGAACATCATCTCCGCAGGTTGGATGAGTATCTTTACATAAGGTTCTTTTTATCGTTTCATAACAACTCCGATGTCCTTCGAGATGACAGCTGCCTCGCTTCTGTATCCGACGAATGAAAATCGAGTTCTGGTGTTGTTGACTTTGGGTAGTTTATTCTGTTCCTTGGAAATTTGCAATTTTACGAATCGGGACTAGCGGATTTTACTAATTAGAAGTATTTAGTCGTTCGAGTGCCACGGATCTTTGCGAAATCTCGATAAGCGGCGCGATCGCGCTTCGTTTCAGTTCAGAAAAGAAATGGGAAGTATTGTTAAAAACAGTTTGGTCTTTTCAGTTCAGAAAAGCAATAAGAAGTATTGTCAAAAACATTGTAAATAGCAGTAGATTTTCCAATTTTTAAATAGGTAATAAATATAAATAAATAATTAGAAAGGAAACGAATAAGGAGAACGCTTGCCACTGAAGCGGTTAATTTTCCCGAACAGATCTCCCCGATTTTCCGAGCGAGAGATATCACCAGTTTCCTCAACAGGATTTCTCAAATTTTCCAGAACAAAGTTAGAGATCGTGAAACTACAAAAACAAGTCGCATAGAAATCCACTCTGCTGCATCGATTAAACCGCACGTCTCAGCGGGATCGAAGAAATGCGATCAACGCTAATTTAATTACCGTCTAAGGGCAATCGGCGCTAATTGATTCCAGCGTACGATGCGGCGATCGGTCGGAGCAAGCTGCGGTGTTCAACGTCGAGGAAAAACGTCGGAACTGTCGCGGTACATGAAACGCGGGATAATCAAACGTTGAAATGCGCATCGGCTGGATGCGCTCGGCTCGCCACAAGGTTAGCCGCGCAATCGCGTTTAAGGAGCCGATGTCGTCGTCTGGATCGCGACGACGCGGCCCGTGGATCACGCGAACGAGGACGCTCGTTAACCGTGACATTACTTTCGGCGGCGATTGATTCCAATTGGAAGAGACACTTTCGTCGAGGCTCTCGTTAGTCCGGGCGCAGCCACCGGAAAAAATCAACGCCGCCAATTAACCTGAGAACCATCAACAACTCACCCTCGAGAGGCCGATCCTCTTCAGCCGCAACGATCTTCGACGTAACACCGTCGAAGCGATCGATCCGTGAAACGCAAACGACCGGCCCGTGGAGCATGCAACGGTGCAGCGCGTCGAACGACCAGAAACCCTGATAAATATTCAGCAAAATTTGAGTAAAACAATTAGCGCGAGCAGACGCGGCCGACTCGACGCTCCGTTTTTCGCTTTCGGAGTCCAGCGTCGGAGCGAACGGATTTCCTTTTCCGTTTCTTCTTCTGTAAACAGTCATTTCAATTTTACATCGAACGTCTCGCTGAAGTTGCTAATCGATTCGACTGAATATCGCGAACACTTTTACCGTCGGGCTCGTCGAGACGATACTCAATGCTACCGCTGAACTATCCGATCCGGCGGACCGGTGGACAAAGGTACGGTTTCTAAACGCGGATATCGATAAGATCGTATCTCGCCGAGCGGCGGGGGAGGGGGAAGGAAAATCGCGTTCCACTTACGCGGCCAATCAAGGCGATTTGCATTCCGCGGACGGGCCCGCGAATCCGTCCGCCGTTGCATCGTCGGTTGTGGTTAACCCTGAAAATTATACGCGGGAACGTGGAATGTGGTCGACGACGAAGGCTCGCGTGCACTCGTCCGAGCGCCGGTGCATAATGCACCGTGCAGGAAACGCTTGATTTCGAGTCACGGTGAACGCTGTCGATCCCTATCGCGCCGCGCCACGATCCATCGACCCTTACCGATCATTATCCCCGACCGGCGACGCAACGCGCCGGTCTCCGGCGTTCAATAACGCCGTGTTCCGCGGAAAAATGGCCGCGCGACGATTAGGGCGAACGGAGAGCCTCGGGGATCGAAGAAACTGCGACCGTTCTGTTCGATTGCGGCATTTCACGAAGTTCGACGTCGCTCTTTGCGGCTGATAGACGGTTCTCGTGGATTTTCGGGTGCTACGGTTCTCTGGGGACTCTGCAAACTCGACGCTTTGGAATTTTCAAGTTTGAAAGTCTGAGAACTTGAATATTTCAATTTGAAACGTTGAGATCCTCGGACTTTTAAACTTCGAAATGTGTTGAAGGTGATGCTTCTGTTCTGGATTCGTGTTCGGAATGAAAAACTCTACAAGAAACGTCCGATTTGGACTTCGCCTGATATTTAATGTTTAACAGTATCGTGTTAACAATCTTGGCCCCTGGACGAGACGCGGCAGCCTCGCGGGAATCGGTTCTCGAGCGACAAGCTCCAGTCGAGAATCGTCCAAGTCCTCGTTGACGAGCCCGCTGCGCGTCGTCCAGGAAATGATAGACCGTTTCCTTTATTTCCGTTGCATTGTTAGTTTATTATCAATTAATCTTGCATGGCATTCGACACGTAACAATATACATAACACGTTCGCAGATAATTGAAGAGGAAAAGATGGATCTCCCTGTTCCCTTTCGATCGCTGCTCTTTTCTCGTTTTTTCACTTTTTTCCGAATTTTACAATCACGGGAAGGTCGCGTCCAGCGTCGCGATCGGAAAAGCAGACGATTTTCTCGACGTCCCGCGTACATGGAAGCAGCATTCCACGCGCGGCGCGCTCGAGTCGCTGATCTTTCGAGTCTTACGTAAGGACTCGGTGCGTACCGTGAATTCCGAGCGGAATGAAATTGCCGGGAAATCGCGGAGGAGAGTCCATCGTTACATACAAATATATTTCTCATGGTGTACGTCCGCGCGATAAATAAATAACTCCGTAGTTCTCCGGCGATCGACTCCTCGCCTGGCGATATAGCTTTCATCCGAGAACTATCGAGCAAGCTTCCTCTCCGTTTAACGCTTCGCACTCCGCTCGTAATTACGTCCTTCTATTCCGATATAAGTTTCCCGATGCTTCTTTTCTGTTATATAATCATTAAAAAAAAAAAGAAAAAAAGAGTTAGTAAGATCTAGCGGTAAGGTAGCAGACTGCAGAACAGAATATCGTTCTCCGTTTCTTACATCGCCAACCGAAGAATCGACGCGATCGCAGCATCGCGAATAGGGTCCAAGAAAGTTCACCGAAATCGACGAATCGCGACCCCTGTAAACGGCTCCGATTTCCAGATATTTATCACGAGGCACGCGTTCCCTTCGGGCTAAAGGGTTAAAAGAACAAAGAAAACAATTAATGTCGAGCTGAAATCACTCCGTTCGGGAGCTTTCATGCGATCTGGCACATGCGATTAAATAAATAAATTCCAGTTGCACCTGCGTCCGACTTGGTACTCGGTTCACCGAATTTCTGGCAAATTCGTCTAATAGTCTTTTCATCGAACGCTAACAAAAGGACCCGAATGACTGTCAATTCCTCGTCCGCGGTGTCGTTTGGTCCGTTCATCGTGAAAGACCGCTCTTTCGTCTTATCACTGTACCGAATGGAATTTGCTTTTTGTCACCGAACACCAGCGAGAAACGAATAAACGTCTTTCCCGTTGGACTGGCCAAGGCCGGGGGACCAAATGCCGGCCGGGAACGATCAAAATAGCTACGGAGTTGACCAAGTCGGACATTTTATGGCGTTTGGCACTGATCCCTAGGCTGGATCTTGCTGGGGTAGCGCTGTCGAGTCGAAATCCCAAGGAAAAGTAACGAAATAAAACGAAGGCACTGTCGTTATGCGCAGCGGGCTGCTTAGCTATGCTTCCTGTAAACAGAAAATGGCGGCGTCCGCGTGGGACCGGGATTCGGGCGGCCAATCTGGAGCGTCCATTTTGCGAAGCGTTGTCCGCTCGCACCGTAGACTCCGGGAGATTCGAAAACAATTCGTTGCATCCTCTAGCGTCGACTTTGATTTTTCGCCTACGATATTCGATAGAAATCGGTTCACTTAAGGAACTGAACGTTTACAAAATGGCGTCGCTGACCAGTATTTCGTCGTTACAGACGGTAGCTAAAATGGACACGGTCCCTAGAGTTATCAAAGCAATTTCATCGGACAAAAGTAGCTTGATTGTCCAGTAGCGAACAGGCCTCATTGTTTCCCCACGGTATTAATATCGACCTCTGATTCACGAACAGTGAAAGGAATGTCTCGGCGTTTCGCAAGCCGAGACGCGAGTCCGATTCGACGTCGAAGTGTCACTAGGTCACCAGTTTCAGAAACCCTCGTGATCGCGGGACGCTTACGAAAACCGATCGGCCAGCCTACTTGCGCGTCTGTTTCGATATTAATCGTTTCCTACGGGGAACAAAGGCGGCCGGGAACGTTGGGACGGCCGATGGATTCGCGTGACCTACTCGCGGACAATTACGGCGAACGATATCGAGACCGGCGGAGTAATAACAGAGGCGTAAAACATCGATCGGCCTCTCGAAGAAACTGGAAAAAGGAAAACGAGCGTGTTCCCTCACACTCCGTCGCGTTTCTAGTTCCACGGAGGAGGAGGAGGAGGAATGTGGAGCTTGTAAAGAACGAAGGAATTCTTCGGACACACGTGGGACTCGATTTCCAATCGATTATGTATTCAGTATTAATTCGGTCCGCTGCACTCGCCGCCGCGTCGGTACCTTGAAACGAATATCGGCCTGCCACGCTGCACTTTTCCCTCGATTTCCCCTTTGAGAGGCCGGTTGCGAAACAGAAGCGACGCGACACGTTCGCGGCCGATGATAGACGACGATTAACTCTAGCCGATTTGCATACGTCCGTTTATAGCCATTAACGATCCTCGCGGTGACTCCTTTTTGCGCCTGCCCGAAGGAAGTTGCGCGGCGATCTTAATTAAACGTGTATCGGGGGGGAGCGTGATTGCTGAATGGAATGCTGTCACCGGAGAGGGACTATTACGGTCTTCCGTTTGTGGCCGGCGAGGTGTATAAGAGGATTAAAATGTCGAAAAGTCGAGGGCTCGAGGATTCCGATCGAACGAATCGACGGACGGCCGTCGCCAAACAAAGGCGACCTGACTCGTCTCTCGATTTTCTGTTAATTGAACAATGCCGGTATAAAAGGGAGGTGTCTCGCGTGTTCCCCGGCGTAAATTGGATCCCCGACGCGAGCCAACGAGACGCCAGTCACGATCGGCGAGGAAATCTGTCTGGAATTGCGAAACGCGACGCGTGTAACCGGCTGACATCGACCACGAACCGATGATAATCAAGCCTAATTGCGTATGCGTACACGGCGATGGCAATGAGTATCCACTGATGCATAAGAGAGCGTGTTCGCGATCGGTTTCGAAACGATCGCGATCGGTGCCCGAGCACACGGCCGCGAAGCCGGTCTGAAAAGTTTCGGCGCCGATCGTTCCGCCGGCAGGTTTAATCCGGATCCCAGTCCCAAGATTTCAAGTGAGACCAGTGACATTTAACGTCGCAGCCTGAATTTTCCAATTCTCTTATTCGTTTCCCTAGCCTCGCACTTCCAATTTGCCGATTTTAGACTTCCATCGCTTCGAATTTCATTTTTCCATCCTTAAACTCTGAGAAGTCTCTAAACGGTGGCCCTAAGTACCTCATCTTCCAATTCCCCAGCTCCTAGAGCTAACCCGATCTCCTCTAACAACGCGAAAGAAGTTTCTCGCGCGGCTGTCGGGGTCCCTCCCCGAAAAATATAGGTCTCGCGGATTTTCCTGATCATTAAGCCGCGGTCTAATTACGCTCGCCGCGTTAATTGTCCGGAACAAGTTGCCAGCCGACGTTGCCGCCGCCGTGTCTCAGGATTACATCAGGATCGCCCGCCGGAATTCGTTCCCACGGCGTCGGCTCGCGTAATTACTCGCGAAGCGACGAAACGTCGAAAGCGATCTCGGCGTGTCCTCCCGGCATTGAACGGTCTCGACGCCCGATTTTCCGCGAAAAAGCGAGCGTGCGCGAAACGAAGTCTTCCTCTGCTATTAGTTAGTCGCGCGCGTGATCCGTTCCCTCGTTTTTCCCAGGGGAACCTCGCGGCTGCTCGTTACGCGCTCGGGAAAACTTGTAAATTCCGAACGTTTTCTCAGCGGTCCCGTACATCTTCGCCGGTTAACGATTGCGGGAACGATTACACGAACTGAGCGCAAGTTTTCCATGAGATTTCCTTAATTTTTCGTAATATCTGGTATCGACCGTAGTCGAGATTCCGCTCCGCTCGACTGTAATTCGAAGCGTTTCCCCCGCGTCGCGTAATTGAATCTTCTCACGCAATTAAGATTAACGTCCGCGTTCCCACGAGTCGGCCGACAGACGGTCTCGTCGGCCGGGAGGAATTTATAAACCGTCGCGTTACCCGCCGCAGGGAAACGGAGCGCTATTCTTTCGAATTAATTAGCCGAACGACTCGCGAAAGCGACACGATTTTCGTTTCGCGCGTTCCCCGGAGAGTTTCGGATCCGTCGAGCTGCTCGTCGGCTGGTGGACGCGTTCGATCGTCCTCGCCTAACGGTAACGAGCGATTCGCTTATCCGTTCGGCGCGGAGTTCTCAGGCTTTACGACTTTATAACGCCGGTGTTAGAGCGGATTATATTTTATTTATGTTTACCTATCGGGACCACTAACCGCGCGATCGGCGGATCACCCGGTTAACAGGTTAAAGCCTCGTTTCCATATCAAGAGACGCCCAGATCCGGCGCGAAGCCGCCGACACGTTTTCTCGAAGGAAACGTCGCGGCGCGGCGAGCTGCATACCTGCACGGTTTCGTCTTCTAACGAGCTCCAGCCATTAGAACGATCGTCTCGGCCAGGTGACAATACTTCCGACCGGTCTAATTAGCTCGCCGCCCGACAGGAAGACCGTCGCGTTCTCGTTTCCGTAATCCTCCCAACCCGGACGTCTTACGATCGTCGAAACGTCTATTTCCGAATCCCCTATTGGAGCAACGAAGCCTTTCGTCCAGTGAAACGCGCTCGCTCGTTAGCGGCTGTTTATTTGTCGAACTAAAGAAAGAACGGACTTTTTTCTACTCTGTAACAGGTACTTCCAGGGTTAATGGGATTCCGAGGCAACACTTTCTCTCGAAATATTTCGAACAGCGGATTTTACGACACGAATAAATTATTCCGAATCTCCAGCGAGTCTCTTAGAATTTCTGGGAGCAACGCCTCGGATCGCTCGCCTTGAGAACGCTTCGAGCGAGCCTGCGAATGTTCCGGTTTCCCGAAAAATTTGAATAAACGGACCGAAAGTTCTCGATTTCCGAGCGAATTTTCAAGAAGAATTCCGCGAGAGTCGCGTCCCTGATCGATCGTCGCGAGGAACGAGGTCACAGGTAGAAACGAACCGGTGACTAAGATGAGGCCGGGTGCCACCGGCTTTTTACCGGAGTAATTTTCCTGCCGCGGACGTTCCGAGAATTGAAAGCCACCTGAACCAGTCTGACGCGGCCAGTCAGGCCGCCCATCGCGATTTTCCACGCGGACACCGCGGACCGATGGACCGTTTGCCCCCCGGGGGCAGAGGCTCTCTTCTCTCGTTCCTGATACGTTGAGCGCCACGGTGAAATTGGGTTGCGCGACGCCTGTTCGTTCGTTTATAGTCTAGAACCCGTAAAAGGACATAGGTTCCTTCTCTCCTCTGATAAGTTACCAACGATGAGGCAGCTTCGACCGATGTAGCTGCAAGTGAAATCATCCTACGTCCAACCCGCGAATGACGCGTTCAATGGATACTTCTCGGTGTGCACCGGGCTCAACGTGTCAAGCGAGATCCGAGGCCTCCTATACATTCTCGAGCAGAGTCCATACTACGGAGACACAGTCTGCGTGAAGACCGAAACATCCATTCACTGTCGAGCCAACGTCCAGACTCGCAGAAACCGAACCGCTCCTCTACGAATCAGGCGATAAAAAGTAACGGACGATCACTCCGATCCACCAGGTCCATGAGACAAGAGTAGTCGGCCAGGCCTCTGTCGGACCGACGCGTCGCCATTGTTCGAACGAACCCCCGAGGATCGAGGATCCGCGCGGTACACAGAATAGACACCTAGCAACGTCGATTCCGAGGCTGACCGCTCGACGGTCCTAACGGGGCCGAGGCCTGGGCAGCGGTTGCTGATGATGGGAGTACCCGGTCCTGGAGTTGGCGGCGGGCGGCGTCCTCTCCGGGCTGTCGTCCAGACTCAAGCCAGCCACCAACTGCGCGATCTCTCTGTCCTTCTTCTCCTCCTTGGGCAGAGCGTTGCCGTTCTGGCCGCTGAATCCGAGGGACGCCAGGCTACCGTGGCTCCTGCTGCGGTGCTCGGCTCGGATGCTGTAGGAGAACGCCCTCTCGTTCAGGTGGCCCTTCCGCCGGTAGATCCCGGTGCCGAATCGTGACTCGTTCTCGGGACTGTCCCCGGCGGCCCTGTTCATCTCCGCCGTGGTCAGGTCGGCGTGCGACGCGGCCAGCCGCCTGGAGGCGCCTAAGGTCGACGTGTCCGCGTCCGGGTGCTGTCTTCTGCCCCTGTTCCCGGCGGTGCCGTACGTCCCAGCGGGATACATGGCGGCCGCCGGCGGTGGCGGAGGAACCACCGGGAGCGGAGCGTACACCGGAACGATGGGGGCAGCCGCGGGAATGGGCCTGAGACCTCTGGGATGATGGTGAGCCTTTCTGGGCAACGTGGCAGCGGGCACCAGGAGTACCGGCGCCGGTCTAGCCAAAGTACCGGCGACCGATCGACTGCTGGGCGGCAGGGGATGGGGGTGGTAGTGCTGCTGCCTGACAGGGTGGCCGAGAGTGTGGTGTCCATGGCCGTTCGTGTAGATCCCCTGGTGCAGCTGGGGATGGAGATGAGGCTGCTGCAGAGGGTCCTCGTGGGAGGTCCTGTTTTTCAGCTTCTTCAGCTTCTTGTTCGCTTTCCTGCGAACCGAGGAGGACGAGGACTCCTCGAGGAGCAGGGGCTGAGCGGGCGGCGGTGGCGGCGGCGGCGGGGGAGGTGGCGCGATCAGTTGACGAGGCCTGGAACCCTTGGTGCTTCTCAGGGTGCCCTGCTCCTGGTACAGACCGTCCACCTCGTCGCGACCCCTGGCCCAGACCTTGTGATTCTCGTCGCCGTTGTAGAGGCTCAGGTCGTCGGTGGACGTGGCGTCCAAGCGGTTCGCCTGCGGACTGTCCAGAGTGGTGCTGGAACCGCCCAGGGTGTGGTAGAGGCTGTTGCTGGACGGATGGCTGGCGGTGACCCCGTTGGTCGTCGCCGCGGACGGGTCCAGGCCCTTGGCGTAGCTGCTGTCCGCGTACGCGTGGAAGCAACACCTGACCAGGGCATTGGCCGCCATGTCCCGCTTGCAGATGAACGCGTGACACTCGAGCACCTTGATGCCGGTGGTCCGTCTGAGCACCGCGGCGAACAGGGGCGGGTGGTTGGCGCTGGGCGTCCTGGCGAACGGGGAGTCGAGCGGCAGGAACCTCGTGTTCGACGAGTCTCCGCTTCCGCCTTTCACGTGCCTGACCGCGGCGCAGTAGTGCAGCGCCTCGATCGGGAAGAACCTGGTCACCTTCTTGCGGTGCTCGTCCACGTTCTCGAGCAGCAGGCCGTTGCTCCAGACGCTCAACCAGGAGTCTATCCCGCGGGCGCCCAGTGCGCCTTGCTCGGGATACAGTTCTCTGAGCGGCTCCTGTACGCCGAGCAGTCCCTCCTTGCTGGCGTGAGGCACCGAGCTGCCCAGGTAGAGGACCCTGCAGCGACAGTACGGCGTGGCCGTGTCCTGGTTGGCACCCCTCATCTTGACCGGACGATCGAAGCGTGTCGACAGAGTCCTCGTCCGACGCGAAACGAACTCAATGGAACTTGGACGGGCGGACGGACCGGGAACAGCTAGAACCGAGCCGTGACACCCGAACCATCGGGCTGACGACTACGCGGAGCCTGGAGTGCACACGCTCGCGCGAACGAACGGCCAGGTAGCCCGGTGAATTCACTTCACTCGCGATTACGCAGTCACTTTCCAAGTCGGACGTTGCAAAATACGCGTGCGTGGACGTCGAGGAGAGCCGCTCTCGGCTCTATTTCGCAGCAGCT